GTGCAGAAGCCTAAAAGCAAACCCGTGTTACATATTACAGTGACGAAGATACCTATATATCAATCTTGTAATCGATTTATATATATACGGAACTAGAATGTATGATATCACACAGTTATTGCCAAGCTGAAGCCATGATGAAGTAGTACTTACCTCTGAATGATGTGTGTCACTATTCACATAAACTGGATAGAATGGTAGAATTCGTTTCTGAAATCCCGATCTTGAAGAGCAAAGTACTCTGTCTATTGTATTTCAAATTATTTTTCATCTCTGTTACGGTTTTGGCAAGAGGATATTTTATCTCATTTGTTAAGATGTCACAAGCTAAATATTGGCCGATTAACTGTTGGTCTGTAGACGTCAGGGATAGTTACAAGAGCGGGGAATCGAAAAACTATGAAGTGTCAAGTAATTTACCAGCTCCTTATTGGATAATAATCAGACTGAAATAAAAACACAGCTGTTCTGTTTTTCATTTATTTGTACTTTAATAGGCTATTGTTAGGTCAACCATACCGGGGAACCTGGGGGTATCCCAACTTCCGGTTATGGTACCTACCAGATAAGCCACGCCCTTATCTGGCTCGATTACTGATAAGCTTCGCCGTATGAGATAAGCCTCATACCCTATTTACTACGTCTATAAGAATACTGGCTTCCCATTGTAGTTGGAAGCCAGGAACCAAGAAGTTCACACACTGAATATACACTACCGCTTATATTCCGAACCTAACAGCTATCACCTTTCATTGGAAGAAATGGTGCATAATGATGACAGGACGGGGCACTTTTTGGGAGAAGTGAATTTCTTTCTGATAGAAACTAGACAGTACGATTGTGAAAGTCAAGCCAGAGGAGTTTTATGTTGACATGTCGTGATGGAGAAGGTAAGACGCATTTGGGAAAAAAGTGGTACAAGTGCGAACAAAGTGTAAAGTGTTATAGCTACTTATTATTATGCTAATATAATTAAAATATTAATTAATAGTAAAACTATTAAAGAAAATATTAATATTAATAATATTAATCCTTCATTAGCTTATACATTAGCTACTGCTACTATTTTATTATTAAGTTTCTTTATATTCTTACCATCAATATCAGAAGACTGAACTGAGAAGTTACCGAGTCAAAATGATACAGTACATAAAAAACATGTGCTAGAACATGCAAATGAATACAAAAAGTGTATAACTTACAATCAGTCTTATCAAAATGAAAATCAGCTCTCTCTGAAAGGATGAACTGAGCCTATGACTATTACATGAGAAGAGTATTATAACTCAAATGAACGAGAAATTAATAGACAAAACGATCGGTTCAATTTATCAGTCGGGGAAGTATTAGCTAGAAAATGAACTGAATTGACTAGAGAAGAATTAATTCCAGTTCATCATGCAATTTTCAACACGCAGGATAGTATCAGATTCTGCTTGAATATAGAGGTTATAATCAAGAAGTCTTGAGTATGGAATTCTCTCTGGTAGCTTGTGCTGGTGTCTCACATTTAATTCGTACTGTTCATATTTCTCCTGTGCATTTGGAGAATTTGGAGACCATAAGTGTAGCTAAAGTTGTTTTTCAAATACCTGTGGAAAAAGCCTAGTATTCTTCTAATTACACATGACGTTGGTTGAAGGTGATGAAATCAAAGGCTTCAAAATATTCTTTTCATTAATGTTTATCTTCTAAGCCTTTGGTTACAGATATTTCTAATACTGTGATGCTAAAGGCAGATTTATAACCCCTTCCAAACTCCTACACCCCTGCCTTTTAGTGAAACTTCGGGAAACATTCCATCAGAGTGTAGTTAAAGCTACAAATGCCATTAGAAGGGTGAACAAAAGAGACAGGACTAAGCGTTATGAAACCATTACTACACACATGCGAGACGTAGACCGTTGTGCATGTTATATATCTATTACTTTCAAACAAGCATGCATGCAGGGAAACACTACTGTACTTCCGAGATGCATGGTACATGTACATAATGCAGATAAATACTATATAGTACGTAGTACATAATCCACGGCTGTATTTGCCTCTTTGTTATACCCGCAAGAAAAACTTTTTCCTCGGCATGTAGAGCCTAACACTTCCCCTATTCCCAAAAACCTCTTCAATTTCCGCATTGAAGTGCTTACCCAGAAAATTATGACTAATGCGCTTAAGAAAAGTAAAGTTGTTGTCGTCTGATGAATAAGTGCATGTTGAACTTAGGCACCACTTAGATAATATTAGGACACTCACTGAACACTGTATCTCTTTTGGAGTGATGCGATTAAGCTGAAGAGAAAGAGAGAAAAAAAAAGATTTAGCTCTACTGCAGTTCCGCAATCCTTGGAAAAGGCAGGCCAAAAATTATTTAAAGGCAAAAACTCAGGTTTAGCATGAATCATCCTCATTTGGCGAGGTGTATGCCCCAACAATTACTTTTCGAAGAAGTTAAGACCTTGGCATGAATCATAGCATGGCCCCTCCGTAATTATCATTCCTACTGCTCTATTACTCAACATAATATACACGACAATTCACGTATAAGGCCAATGCCTCACCGAATCGACATGAGTTTCCATGTATTAGAACGATTATGCGTGCCTTCTTTAAGTCGCGTTCAATTATTTTAACATGCCTATCTAGAATTAACGATTATTTCCAGACAGATATCTATTTTGGCTTTGTACGCTACGGATGCATAGAAATGATACCCGCATCAAAGGCATGTATAGACAGATAAAGATTGAAGACTATGCAGTAGGGAGATAAAAACAATTTTTACTTAGCACTTTACTGCGTTTATTTTGCTGTCTGTCATGAGCAGATGTAGGACTTCTAAAATCTAACTGGATTTCTCTACAGGAAACGCGTACATGCATACCCTAGTCCAACTATTGACAATATGCAAACTTCCGCTCTCTTGAGAGACTTGTATGTACTTGCAAGGATCCCCTCTTACGGGAAAGAGAGGTGAGCAATTGAATATTTATACTGGTGATCATCGAAAATTTATGTACAGCAAAACCAACAAGAGTTAAAAATCTACGCGATTTTTACCGTGAGTGTATTTCTTTTTCCTTCCGGACTTGCACTTGATTGTCATCTGCCATGTAGCTTCCCAAAATGAATTTCCAAAATACGGCATACAAATGAAGATGACTTGGAGGGACAGAATTCTGATTCCTCTTCCCAAAGCAGCTTTAGAGTGAGCGTTTTATTCTCATACATGAGGGAAGCCAGAGAATAGACATATAGCCGACTTACATATATATGCACTTTAGGCTTTAAGATATGCGTCGGCGATGTATCTCCATTTTCATGGTCACTTGTCCACTCCTCGTTTACGGTTGGTATTGAGTACAAGCTTTGGGCTAGGAGTTCTTATTATTAATGAGAAGTTTGCCTTCTATTAATACTTGTACGGAGCTAGAAAGTAGAGTAGTCTATTGACAATGCCGTATCTGAGTGATGCGAGATATGGTCATGCATGTCATGCAAGTGTTCTTAGATACAGTGCTTGCTTCGTCTTGGAAGACCCCAAAATCGCTATTCAATTATGAGAATACATCATCTCAAAAACTTTGAAGTAAAAGGAAATGAAACGTAGAAGAAGCTTCGTTCAACATCGAATAAACCAGAAAATACATTTTTTATTTGGTGTATTCAATTATCGTAAATTCGGCCTAAATTTTTTTGCAAGTGCTACATTTAGAAATCCCCTTATGTAGAAAGAACGGGCCTTGGCAGAAAAGGTTGAAAAACCATGGCGCATGCCATATTGTACATCGCAGAACCTTAATAGATATGCATAAATCGGTCTTAAATTGCCTCCTCTCTCAGGAAACTGTATAAGTGAAAGCACCAGAAATCTCCTCGCGGATATGATTGGATGAAAGTATTTGCCCAATGACATTCTCCAACAGACACACGGGGCCGGAGATTATACGTCCATTCATAACCCATTCCGACAAAGATAAGTGTGTCAACTTCTGCAGATGTGGCGTTCGCGTAATCTTGTACTTCTTCGAAAGAACACATGAGCATGCATGTACATGCCAAAATCTTGATCTGGAATAAGGTTTTCGTGAACCAGGTATATGTAAGCCTACATACAGAAACATGTACCGCGAATGAACATTCGAAACCAAGCAAGGAATGTAAATTTAGAAACCTAGAACTTAAAGCTTAGTAATAGTCAATTAAGCAATGGCGTAAGACACATATACTCAATATACGAAGAAGAGAGATCACTTGACTCTTGAGGGTGTGTGTGTGTAGGGTTTGACATTGTTTCCTGAAAACAACTAGACCTGACTGGTTTGCAAGCTACCTTACAGAACCGTCGACAAAAAATGTAGGTGCAGATATATAAAATAGAAAATTCCTGTCCACATGAAGAAAGAGCGCAAAAGGAATCCTCATGGTGAGTTTTGAACACAGTACCTACTAAAAGTTGCCTTGCAGAAAAATGCGAGCGAACATGGCGAAGTCTGATAAAAGGAGAGAACAAAGCAAAATATTCAAGTGCTGTCTGAAGCTCTTTTCGTCCGCGTTGTGCATAATACTCCGATATCTTGCAGCGTCGCAAACAAACCCTACATATGTAGTCCTGCACTGTAAGTGCTTCTACGGTCTGTGCGGCTAATAGTCTGCGTGTTATGCTTCGCTCTAGTTGCCTTCATCTCAAACCACTTGAATAAAAGGCTAACAGCGACATAGATACGAAAGGAAATAACACAACAAGATCCAAATGGAGAAAGGAGATGCAGAATAGTATAGCTGAAATCCAGAAAAGAATGAACATCGAAAACAAACAAAAAAATTTACGAACCTCATGCATCATGCACAATTGGTGGTGTCTACAATGTTGAAGTACCCTTACAGTCTTCACGTTTCAATTTTGCAAGGCGGGAGGAGAAATAAGTGAATGAGACAAATAGGGAAAAAGCAATGAATATTTAAATGCATGTGTTTGCCCTTAATTTAATGGGCACCGAGTAATGCGACCAATTTTTAGCATATGTTTGTGTTTGGCAAGCATAATTAGTACTGTCTTTGGGGTAACTACTATATCCCAGGACTTGTACGCTTTTGGAAGCGCAAACTATTTGAGTGATCTTGTTATCAATCCCGGAATCACCCTTTCATACGATAACAGGTATCTTCTTTCGCCGAACAATTTTGTCGGCGATGTTACTGTCAATGGCAAATTGTTCATTGGCGATAGTGGAATAAATCTTGGAATGACCGTTGCCTTTTTGAAAGGAGTTACCAATAATGGACAGCTTGTTCTCAATGCTACCAACGAAATTGCTGCGCCCACATTTGCTTTTACAGGACTCTATTTCGTTAATAATGGAGAAATGTTTTTAGCGGGCGAAGGAAGTGTTGGAGCCTCAGTTATGAACATTTGGCCTCTCTTGGTGACAGTTCCAGAAAACCATGGAACCATCACATTTGCACAAAGCAGGAAAAGATCACTTGGTGTTGCTCATTTCGGACAGGTCGCCCAAACGGTATTAAATGATGGTACCATCTGCTTATATCAAATGAACTTGAAACAAGATTCCATTGTGAGAGGCACAGGCTGTTACTCTGTTGGAGAAGACTCTCTTATGGTTTTAGATGCCCCCATTGTTGCACCATTATCTGCCCAACAAACCATTTTCCTTTCCACTCCCACTTCTCAACTTCGATTCGGCTTAGCCAGTCCACCAACCACTGTGACAATTGCCGGATGGGGTAACGGCAACAGAATCGGCTTCCAAGGTGTCGTCACATCAGCTAGTATATCTGGATCAATTTTAACTGTGTATGTTGTTCTCATCCGTTACACTTTCAATGTTGGCCCTGGATATGAGCAGCAATACATTCAGACGGGAGGTCCATACACATCGGGTGGATTTTTCGTGACCTCGTATGTTTCCTATAGCAGGCCGCCACCTTCTACGGCACGTCCAGCTACATGTAACTCGTGCCCTTCAATCGCTGATATTCCGATTCCTCCTCCTCTGACTGTTAACGTGACACAAAGTTCATCTAGTATTGTGTCCTCGACTGCCCTGAGCAGTGGATCTAGTTCGCTTGCCTCTAGTGTTTTGTCATCCAGTGCTATATCCTCCAGTGTATTGTCTTCCAGTGCTATACCCTCCAGTGTATTGTCTTCCAGTGCTATACCCTCCAGTGTATTGTCTTCCAGTGTTATATCTTCCAGTGTTGATTCCAGGTCTAGTATTGCAACATCAAGTGCTGAATCTTCCAGTGCTGTTTCTAGCTCTAGTATTGGAACTTTTTCATTTTCGATGGTTAATTCGAGCTCCAGTGAGCCTAGTAGAGCTATTTCTTCCACATCTAGTATTGAATCCAGTTCCGGTGTTGAGTCTAGTTCCAGCGTTCAATCTAGTGCTGACTCCAGCTCTAGTAGTGAGCCTACTTCTGGTACTATGTCTTCCACTATTGATTCTTCCAGCGTTTCCAGTTCCAGTGCTGAACCTAGCTCTAATATTGGATCCTCCAGCTCTGAACACAGACCTAGTGATTTATCCAGCAGTGTTTCCAGCTCTAGTGTTGAATCTTCTATTGTTGGTTCTTCCAGTGCTGCTTCCAGCTCTCATGTTGGATCCTCCACTGCTCAATCTAGCTCTAATGTTGAATCCTCTAGTGCTGCGTCTCACTCTACTGTACAATCTAGTACTGATTCTGGTTCTGAAACTTCTAGTGGGAAGGCCACTTCCATTGAACCCGACACTAGTACTGGTTCAAGTTCAAGTGCTAGCTCTCCCAGTGCTATTCTCAGCTCCAGTCTTGAATCTAGTTCCAATAAAGAGGTTTCTAGCGCTGGATCCTCCAGTTCTGAATCTCCCTCCACCATGA